AATATAGATTCAATCTACATGCTCACAGATGTTCACAAACAATTCTCTATAATGCAGTATCAGAAGTGCAGACATTGAGAGCTGGAGCTAAATATTCAAGGGTACGAGAATGGTTACATCAAAGGGTTATACTTACTACATGGAATAGAATGTAGCCGTTAAAAACAATCGTAGGTGGTTTGTGTCAGTTATATCTCCATAAAGCTGGAGGTGAAGGTGAAACAACCGTAATCATGATAATCATGCAGCAATATGGAAAAATTCTCACAAACAATTAAAGTGAAAAACATGTAGAAAACAACTTTATATGCTTACAGGTTATACTATTGGCCAAAAATTCAGTAGATGGATAATCTACAGGATTGGTGAGGATATGAGACAACAGACGTACTCATGTTACTGACATAGGGTTCGCTGTGTCAGTCAGGGTCAAGGGAAAACATCAGATTTCCCATCTTGCCCTGAATTCTCTCTCCAAAATGTGTTCCCCCACTGTGCCCTGGCCCTAGGCCACAGAAATGGGATGGCAAATTTCACTTGCTTAGGAATAATGGGGTAAAAGACTTTGAACCTGCAAACGTTTAGGATCCAAATCGCATTATTTTTGTGGTAAGTTTAGGAACAATCTGTATTTTTTGATATTTAATTTATTTACATCATTTTAATTTATTTACAACATTTTAGAGAGTTTATCATTTTAAGAATAGCTCTTGGAATAGCCCTGTGATTCCAATATAAGTGTAATGATTAAATAACTGATTTAAAAAAAACAAAAAAACTTATTTCAGACTTAGGATTTTTAGTTGAAAGTTATAAGAGAATTTTACTAAGTTTTTAATCAGTACTGGAATGTTTAAGAGAATTAAGATTAAATTTTATACATTTATTAGATTTACTAGAATTAAGTATTCGAGAAGGTTTTGCTCACTTAAAGTCATTTAAAATATTTTATAAAGAAAATGTAATGTGTTAAAATGTAAGTTTAAAATAATTTAACCTAAAATAACTTGAGTTTAAAATATTCAGGAAATTGGAATAATTGTGAAGCCCCCTTAAAAGTTATTATCAGAGTTGACTAGGCTTTTAAATTAGAAGAATACTATTCATAAATTAACTAGAAAAGTGTATGGGAAAGTCAAGCTTTTGAATTTATAAATTTAATAGTTAGAATTAATTTTTAAAACCAAAGTAACTGCAAATAATGTGCTTTTTCTCTGCATAAACACCACCCTCAAGCAAAGCCTCACAGTGACATGAAAAGCTTAAGCTAAAATGTGACAAGTGGACCCATGCATCTAAAGTGAAAGAAAACAAAATTATATTCTGTTTGTGCATGATAATAGATGTAAATGATAGAAATAGATCTAAGATAAACTCCCAATGGCTAGGGAAGGGAGTGAGAACTGGAAAAAGACGAAGGGAGACTCATTATTACTGTTTAGTTCTGTATTATTTTATTTTCTTAAAAAGTAAAAGTAAATTTGTCTTTGTCTTAATTGGTTAATTATTTAACAGCAAAAACACTAATCAATTTTGAATGAACTGTCTGGAACATTAACTGAATTAGAAGTGCAATTATAGAAAATGTCCAGCAGGAGGAGCCCTAGTACAAATTTGTGGGCTGCTCGAGATTCCTTTAGCAAAAAAGGGGCGAATAGCACTCATATGGAGTAAGCAGCTTTCAAGGACCCCAGCCACTAGTCAGGATCCAGGGAATAAAAACCTCAGATTGTTTCATAATTTTAAAAGTTTGTTTTTTAATTGTTTTCAAAGAATTCAGTAATTTCTGTTTTTAAAAATCTGGTGGTCAGACCCTATTTGCTATGACCAGAGTCCCTATTTTGGCCAGATCCTCTCTCAGTGTCTTTATGTCATGACTGGTTTTTCCTCACCAGTTAAACTGTGATGATGTAATGTCCATCAATAGGGAAGTTGGGGAACTTTATGGTACATCCATACAATCAGAATTCACCCATGAGGAAGAATGAATAAACTCCACGTGTACCGATATGGAAGTATGTGCAAGATGTGCTGTTGGGTGAAAAAACAAGTTGTAGATTCCACTTGTACTTAGATAAAAGGATATGTGAGTCTGTGTGTGTGCGTGGGAGTGTGTGTGCACACACGTGTGTGTGGGGGGGGAGTGTGTATCGCATTCCTGGAAGGACAAATCAAAACTATCAAGGATGATTCTCTATGGAAAGTGGGAATAGGGAAGCTAAGGAGCTTTCACTTTTCGCTTTGTAACTTTCTGTACTAGGTATTTTATTTATCTATTTATTTTTGGCTGCATTGGGTCTTCATTGCTGCGCGTGGGCTTTTCTCTAGCTGTGGTGAGCCGGGGTCACTGTTTGTTGCAGTGCGTGGGCTTCTCACTGCAGTGGCTTCTCTTGTTGCAGAGCATGGGCTCTAGGCGCATGGGCTTCAGTAGTTGTGGCATGCAGGCTCAGTAGTTGTGGCTCGCGGGCTCTAGAGCGCAGGCTCAGTAGTTGTGGTGCACAGGCTTAGTTGCTCCGCAGCATGTGGGATCCTCCAGGACCAGAGATCAAACCGGTGTTCCCTGCACTGGCAGGCAGATTCTTAACCACTGCGCTGCCAGGGACGTCCCATGTACTATTTAAATTTTCCGCAGTGTGCATATATGTTTTTGAAAGTAGGTGTCATCCACCAATACTGACATGTTTTCTATTTCCTTTTTAATTTGCAGGGCAGCAACCTCTACTCAAAGAGAAGCCCTGTCCCTTTATGCAGAACGAAGTGCCAGCTTTGTCTTTCCTCTCTTAGTGGGTCTGGCTTCAGTTGCTCAGTTGTAATAACTAGAAACTCAGCTATGTTGCGCTAAGCAGCCTGCAGTCCTGAAACCTGCCCTTGCCCAGTCATCCTTCTTTTTCTGTGTACGCCAGGTGACTCCATTGTCTAAAGAAGCTTCCTGCTGGGAAAACAATGTCCTGAAATGGGTTTTGAATGATATACACGGTCAGGATTTCAGAAATTAAGCTAGTTCTATTTAACCGGTTAAAACTACTGCATTAACAGTTTGATTGACATATAAACACTACTATGTATAAAATAGATAACTAGTGAGAACCTATTGTACAGCACAGGGAAAAAGAACTACTGCATTAGAATTAAAGCTAGTTATTATTTTCTTATTTTCATAATGATGCAACATATTGAGGCTCAGACTGTTTGTTATATAAGCAAACATTTTAAGAAAATTTTGGTAGAATTGAATGTATATATATTTATATTTTCTTATACAACCAGCAGGGCACACTGCATGTTTGTTGATAGCTTCAAATATATGTATACTATATAAGTGTATTCATACATGTTTGGTAGGCAAAGAGTTATGTATAATGACATCCATTTAAGGGTTATTTATAATGAGGGGGAACTAAACATTCTACTAATAGGGAACTCTTTGCATATGTTTTGGTATATCTGTAGGATGGAATATTATTCAAATAGGAAAAGTTATGTTTACCAGCCCAAATGTCCTTCATCTGGTGAATGGATAAACTAACCTTGGTATATCTATACAGTGGAATACTACTCAGCAATAAAAAGTAACTAACTATGGATAAATGCAGCAGTGTGGTGAGGCTCAGTTGCAGCATGCCAAGTGAAAGAAGCCAGACCAGAAGGCTACATACCATATAATTCTGTTTACAGGACATTCTGGAAAAGGTGAAACTATAGGAATGGAGAACTTTTTGGTTTCAGGGTTAAGACTAGGGGGAGGGGCTAACTGAAAAGGAGCATCCTGAGGGAATTTGAGGGGAGTGACAAGACTGTTCTGGATCACTGGCTGTGGTGGTGGCGACAGGAATCTATATTTGCCAACACTCAGAACTGTATGCCATAAAGTCATTTCACTGTTTGTAAATTAAAAATTTTCAAAGAACATTTCGTGACATAGAAAAATGCCAGCGATCGGTGTAAGACATAGGACATAAAAGTGTTTATATGATCTAATTGTCTAAAATATAATACAAATGTAACATTGTGGATGTATGTTTGTATTATACGCATATTGTAAATGAATGAAAGGAAAAGAAATAAGCCCAAAAGCGGAGCAGTGATCTCTGGAGAATGTTCTTATTAGTGATCCCTATTCTTGACTTTTGACTTTTTGTGTTTTCCAAATTTTCTCTAATGAGCATGCATTACTTTTCTAATCAGAAAAAGAGAAATAAACACATACATCATCTACGTGTGGTAATTTGACACAACACATTTCCAGAAGAGGAAAAGAAAACCAAAACTCCTCACAGACACTTCCTGTTCTTACTCCCTTTTTCAGCTAAAGTGAGCATGGGAGCTTTAGATGTGAGAACTCGCAGATTCTCGTGCCCCAGCGGCCAGCAACTGGGAGTGAGAGCTCTCACATTCTGTCGTTTCCTGTAAACCTCTGGAGAGAAAAAGAATTGCCCATTGCGGGCAGAGCCATTCCTCAAACCTGCTGCCCTGACTGCAGAGCTCTTTCTTCCTCCTGACAGAGCCTCTACTCCATTTTATGTAACCACTTGCCCAAGTGTTCACTGTAAGGCTGGGAATCCTCACAGCTTGATTGTTTTATATAACACACATTTACAATTCAATCTCGTGCGTTTTTAGAGATCACTTCAGACACTGCGCTGGGCAGGGAATCTCACTGGGAATGATTGCACAGGTCTCCCAACTAGCTCCCTGTGCCTCCAATCTCTTTCTCTCTTGGTTCCTTCTTATCTCCCATCACTACCCCTCTCTTGTGGGGTCTACACACTCAGCCGCCCCACACCATGGTGCTCATTCCAGGGTTCGGGAGAGGGCAGGTCCCTTGACCATCACCATCAGTCACCTTCATCATCTCCATCATCTTAACAGTCATCATCACCACCATCATTATCACCATCATCATCACCATGCCTAGTATTTATTGAGTTCTTACCATGAACCGGTCACTGTTTCAATTTTTAATCATTCTTTGAATTCTCATTACTATTCTTATTTTGCAGATGAGAAAACTGAGGCTTGACAAGGTTAAATCACTTCTGCAAGGTCACCCAGTTAGCAATGGAGGAGAAGTGTTACAACCAGGTGGACTGACTCCATCATTGAGGTGCTTTTCTCCATCTGCTGCACTAAATAAGGCCCCAGGAATGTTAACAACACTTGGATTCTGCTCCAGAACCCTCCGAACTCACTTCCCCCTTCCTCTTTCTATTTCCTCAGTCTTCTTAGATCTCCAACCCCACACTCCACCTACCATTTATGTCTTTGCTTTTCTTTTGCACTTTGACACCAGTCTCTCTTGTCCCAAACTGAACTCCCATCTTTTCTACACCTGCATCTCTCCTCCTCACCTCAGCACATTTAAGGACACTTGTCAGGGTGACATGCCTTCTACCTCACCTTCCCAGAGCTGACATTGTCAGATCCCTATTCAGACCGCCTGAGCATTGTAGGTGGGCATTAGACTTAGAGCTAGAATCCTTCCAGGTGTGCAGATGAGCATGAGGTATTACCAGTGTCAAGATTTTTTTTTTTTTGTAGCTGAGGCCCATGGGTTTTGGAGAAGCCTGGTATGGATGGTTGAAACTTGGGATTTTTTTTTTTCTTTTTATATAAATGCTGAACACGTGTATCCTTTGTCATGAAATACCAGGTTATGGATGTCTTACCTTAGCTTCAGAGAATACATTTGACCAAGGTTTCTAGAAGAAAGAAGGAAAGAAAGAAAGGAAAGAAAGAAAGAAAGAAAGAAAAAAGAAAACCTTCTCTGTAATGTTTCACAACGCTGTCCCTGTTCACTCACCATAACAACCCATGTGCCATGACAAGAAGTAGAGCATTATAAAGAGAGGCAGGATGAACAAGCTTGCCAAAGCAACTTTTGTTCTCAATTCAGCCTTGGAATTCATCATTTCTTCTTCTTTGTGTAGGTTCCAGAATTTTATGATACCTCTCCCCCTACCCAATGAGCTCTAATAGGTTTCCAGAGGGATCCAGACCTTACCATGTATCTTATTATTGAGGATATCACTTGAGTTAGCGCCTCTTCCCACCATGTCTAGCAACAGTAGATTAGACAAGTGTCCAAACGACATAAATCCTACTGGCCAACCGGAAGAAAAAGGAGGTAGAGCGAGCTTCAAGGGTTGTGATCTGTGCAGTTACACAGGGACCCGTGCTCAGAGGGGCCCATGCTTGGTTTACTGTTCTTCTGTCTCTGTCTTTAAATTTTTAATTTTTGAACAAGGAGCACAGCATTTTCGTTTTTCACTGGGACCTGTAAATTATGTAGCTGGTCCTGAGTGGAAGTAAAGCATTCCAAAGCAAAGGGAGCCTTATTCTGTCGAAGGTGGCCCTGTTATATATATAAGAAATAGGTTATGGAGGCCCTGACTGTGCCCAATCTTGATCACAGGCTTTCAGCGCTTAATGGGAGCTGAAAACACCCCTGTTGGCTCCTCTTCAGCGTATTTCATATACCTGGGGAATTTTTTATCTTCTAAGTCCCGCTTCCCCAAGAAGGAAGCTAGCAGCATGCTTTCCCAGTCTTCTTTGAAGCTAGGGTGCAGACATGTGACGTGTACTTCGCTGGTCAGGTGCTCATGCAGGAGACTTCCCTTCAGGGGAAAGAGAGGTGAACATGGAGATGCCTCCAGGATTTGGCCTGATCAGAGGGGAAAGGCATGAAGAGTGGGGTGTTATTGGTGCCTTGACTGGTGCAGGCTGAGGCGACCGTGCCCAGCGGTCACTGGGCTCAGAATCTCTGCTGGGTGGATGGACGTTGTTAATTTGGGTGTGGTTTCAGGTTTCATAGTCTGGAAGTTTCATTCCCTGACTCTCCTGGAGATTCTATGAGTGCTTTCTGCTTACACTGGCTGGAGTGGATTCTGTTGTTTGCAACTGATAAGCTTCTGACTCTAACTGAAGCCCTCTCCAGCTCAAGGTGAAGGTTAGAGATGACTTGCTCAGCCATGTCTCCATATTTTGGGAGCTTATGAGGTTTTTCACTGATGAAGAGGAGCATCCCTATGTGAAATGGCAGTGGTTGCCAGTGTGCGTGTCTGGGCTTGCCAATTTCCTGTGGTTTCTGGTGCCCTTGTGGTATACTTTCTTTCTAACTTGCAGTGGTGGACAGAAGTGCTGAGTGTCCATCACTTTACACTTCTGCTGCTGAGGTCTGAGCCACCATCTCTTCTTGTATGAATCTCAACAACTCCCCTGCTCCCCCCCCCCCCCCAAAAAGGATACTGTCTTAGTCCACTTCGGCTGCTGCTATAATAAAATACTACAGACTGGGTAGCTTAAAAACAGTAGAAATGTATTTCTCACAGTTCTGGAGGCTGAGAAGTCCAAGATCAAGTTACCAGCAAGGTCATGTTCTGGTGAGGACCCTCCTCTTGATACGTAAGCAGGGGCATTCTTGCTGTGTCCTTACATGGAAGAATGAACTAGGGGTCTCTCTGGAGCCTCTTTGTAAAGGCACTCATCTCATTCATGAGGGCTCCACCTTCAAGGCTTAAGCACCTCCCCAAACCATCACTTCAGCCATTAGGATTTCAACATTTTGGGGATGAGTTTTGGGAGGACCACAAACATTTAGACCATAACAAGCACTGATGCCCAAGCCAACTCAGAACTCTTCATAGCTCATCCATCTTGCACTCCACCCCTTCACCTTAGAGGGTTCAACCAAACTCTATCCACAAAGCCATCTGGCTCTCCCTGTGTGCTCAGAATGCTCTAACCTTCTGCTCCACCCACTACATCTCTGCCAGTTATCTCCTGCTCATCATTTAGATCTCAGCTCAAGGGTCTCTTCCTCCATGAAGCTTTCCCTGACCACCATTCCCACTCTAGGTCAGATTCAAAGTTCTTTTCCTTATTTCGGTTTGTAATTGTACGTTTGTTAATATGAATATTGATTAACATCTGTACCTGCCCACTTACAACAAGGCCAGGGACCAGAGGTAGCATTAAAAATAACCATCACTAAAAAAAAAAAAAAATAACCATCACTGTGGCACAGGCCTGACCAATCAGAGCAGACACTAAATGTCCTAATCAGGAAGGCCACTAGCTTTAACTGGTCAGCCATGGTGAGGGTACCAGTAGCAGCCACAGCAGGGATGGGATTAACTCTCCTCATTGTATCTTCAGCCCCTGGCCCAGTGCATGGCACATAAAAAAATGCTCAATAAATATCCCTGTGAATAAATGATTGTTCTCTGTTGTTGATCCTAGATTTGCTCCAAAGCAATTCTCGGACCTAATGTGTTGGACCTTTTGTGACTGCCTAGCCTGCCCTTACTCAGGACGTGGACACCAGTTAGCCCTGCTCCCTGAAGCTACTGGTCATGCTTTCCAGCTTCCATATAGAGCAGACACTCAGGTACCTGGTAGAAGAGTGGATTCCTCCCTCCAAGCCAGGACACTCGGGGGACCACGGTGTGGTAGGACACTGGCTACACAGGGAGTGGATGGGGCTGGGAACCAGGTCAAGCTCAGAATGGGCTAAGTAAACAGGGTATGGGAAGAAAGACGGTAGAGGAACGAAATCCAAGAAGAGCTGGCATGATGTAGAATGTTCATTGGTGTGGCTACTGCTGTGAACTGTGAGTGGTGTCAGCATCTTAGAGAGGCTGTACCCAGCTGGGCACTGTCAAACCAAGTAGCTTGCCATAACCCAGATGTGTCCTGCTTTCCCACTCCTTGGGGTCTTGAATGCGATGGTCTCTCTGCACTGATTTCCCTTCCTGCTCTGCCATCCATTTGTCAGATTTTGAGGCCCATCTTAAGCATCACCTTGTAAGGGAGTAAAATTTTCCACCCCAGAATATCTCTTTGGCATGTGGATTACCTTGAGCTGAAAATAACCAAGGCCCAAAAGACTCAGGAAGAAACTTTGAAATTCCCCCTAACTGCCTAAAAGAATTAAGAAAGAGGGCCAGTTCCCTAGAATAGAGCTATCACCAGAGATACCTGCAAAGATATGGGCTCAGTGTGGAGGGGGAAACTCAGCAGGGCTTAGAGAAAAGACAATGGGTCCACTCTGTGACCCGTTGTCTCTGCATGACCCAGCAAACATTTATTTACCAGACATTTGCTTTACTATCTTCATGTGAATTGCATTTTTACCCTTTGAAGTCCCCAACCACTACCCTCAATGTCCTCTTTCATCTTTAGCTGAAGATAGTATTTAAGGTGAAGACTTCAGTCATTTTGGTGAGTTGCTCCGTTTATCTGGGTCTCTCCCATGTATACGTTATTAAACTCCTTTTTGATTTCTCCTGCTAATCCATCTCATGTCAATTCAATTCTTAGGCCAGAAGCACCTAGAAGGGTAGAGGAAAATTTCTTCCTCCCTGACAGCCTCCTGCGTCCTCTGGTACCTCTACCACCAGAGCCTTGGCTGTTCTTTGCTCCTTTGCTGCCTCAGCCCCTGTGCATTCCCCTAAGGTGGTCCATCTTCACTGTCTTGTCATCGTTGGGACTGTGGTTTTTTGAAGACTTACTCATCATTTCCTCCCTGGCCTGACCTTGCCTGGATAAAGTGGACATTCCACATGTGGCTTTAACGAGAGAATGGATATGTGAATGAACTGGGTTTCAGAGAAGAAAACATAGGGTGGGTGATTCTTTAATTTTCTTTTAATGTAAGTTTTGTTGAAGGAGGTCAGGGATGGTACAAGGGAAGATTAAAAGCATCACATGTCAGGCTTCCCTGGTGGCACATTCGTTGAGAGTCCGCCTGCCAATGCAAGGGACACGGGTTCGTGCCCCGGTCTGGGAAGATCCCACATACCGCGGAGCGGCTGTGCCCGTGAGCCACGGTCGCTGAGCCTGCGCGTTCGGAGCCTGTGCTCCGCAACGGGAGAGGCCACAACAGTGAGAGGCCCATGTACTGCAAAAAAAAAAAAAAAAAAAGCATCACATGTCATACTTTTCTGTATTTATGCTATACTTCAATAAAACATGTGAAATATATGATATATTCTAGTGTGGGTGAGGGGAGTAGAAGGGTGGATGACAAGTGGCATAAGAACTTGGGATTCCTAGAAAGGAAGAGAAAGGTCCCTACTGACTTCCAGTTCAGCTTGTCTCAGGGTCAGCTGGCTCCTCAGGCTAATCCCATGGAAGCCCCAGCCAAGGGCATCTCTCAGGCCAGGCTTGGAGAACACAGTGTCCACTGCCTTTGGGTTGCCTGGGTTACCAGTGGATTTACACAGTCATTCACAGCACACCGGCCTGTGACTTAATTAGATGCTGTCATTTTGAGCTCCGCGGAAAAGAAAGTGTTTTATTTTTTAAAAAATAAAAATAACTTTACATTTTTAATGACATCTGATCACTTGGAAAACTTTAAACAATACAGAAAAATTAAGGAAGAAGGCGATAAATATCCTCTATCATCCTATATGCAACGTAGCAGGTTTTTCTCTATATACATTCAAACACATACTCGTGTTTTCTGAACACATGAAGCTATGTTTGATATCAGGAATACAACTGAGAGCAGAATCGTTCAACTGCAAGTTCTAGGCTTTTTACACATTAACAGGCTGATTTCAAACATTTCCTGATCTGTTTCCTCTCCAGCCTAACTTCTACAGTGCTCCCAGAGCAAGCACCCTAAGTGAGGGTCCTGACCGAATGATCTGATCCCCTACTTAAGATGTCGTAGGAAAATGGGGTGCGAGAGGATGGTCACATCCCAGGTCTCCAGTGAGTCCCTGGGACTGGCCGCCAAATGAGGGTCCTTGGCTTCATGCAGGAAAGAATTGCAGAGCGAGCTGAAGTAGAGTGAAAGCAGATTTAAAGCAGAAATACACCCTCTACAGACAGAGTGTGGGCCATCTCAGAAGATGAGAGGCCCTGAAATATGGGGTTGTTAGTGTTTATGGGCTGGGTATTTTCATAGCCTAACCAGTGGGAGGATTACTCCAACTATTTTGGAGAAGGGACAGGGATTTCAAGTAATTGGGCCACTGCTCACTTTTGGCCTTTTATGGTCAGCCTCAGAACTGTCGTGGCACCTGTGGGTGTGTCATTTAGATGCTAATGCATTACCATGAGCATATGATGAGGCTCAAGGTCCCCTGGAAGTTGAATCTCCTACCACCTGGGCCTAGTTGGTTCTAACCAGTTTATGTCATGTCCTCAGCGGCTGTGTCCTTCTTTTAAAGGTTGTGCCATGCCCCCTTCCCTCCTGTCTCACAAACTCACCAGTGCAAAATAAAATCCATAGTTTTAAATCTAGCATTCAAGGTCTTTCCACTTGCCCCCAAACTGCCTTCCTCACCTTGTGTCCCCAGAGACCCTCCATGCTCTGCAGCCGCCTATTCTCAGTTCCCCATTCTCAACAAAACCCTCATATCCGGTCCCTTCACTCACCTCCTCCTTGAAGCCTCACTTTGTTCCAGTTTCAGATACATTTGTTTTTAATGTCTCTCTGAAGGACAGTGACTTCATCCATTGTCTTTGTGTCTGTCAGAAGGCTTCACCCTGAACTATGATGACCCAGTGAGCATTTGATATGTGAAGGAATCAATACTGAATTTGCATTTAAGATTGAGCAAGATGATCAGGTTTGGGGAATATGAAGAAAAATCCTACACTACTCATGGGGCTTCCCTGGTGGCGCAGTGGGTGAGAATCTGCCTGCTAATGCAGGGGACACGGGTTTGAGCCCTGGTCTGGGAGGATCCCACATGCCGCGGAGCAACTAGGCCCGTGAGCCACAACTACTGAGCCTGCGCATCTGGAGCCTGTGCTCCGCAACGAGAGGCCACGATAGTGAGAGGCCCGCGCACCGCGATGAAGAGTGGCCCCTGCTTGCCACCACTAGAGAAAGCCCTCGCACAGAAACGAAGACCCAACACAGCAAAACTAAATAAATTAATTAATAAACTCCTACCCCCAACATCTTAAAAAAAAAAAAAAATCCTACACTACTCTTGTTGACCGCAAGTTCACGTGTCCGAAGCACAGTGAGGCCAAATGAAAGGAAACATCGGAGTTTGGAGCAGGGAAAGGTTTATTGCAGGACCGAGCAAGGAGAATGGGTGACTCATGCTCAAATACCCCAGACTCCTCAATGGGTTTGGGGGAATAGGTTTTATAGGCAAAATTTGGGGTGAGGGATGCAGGGTGTGTGACTTTCCTCTGATTGGTTGGTGATGAGATAACAGGATGGTGTTCCAAGAATCTCAATCATCAGCCTTCTGGTTCCAACCAGTCTGCAGTCTCAGTGTGTAGTTACCACCCAAGTGGAGGGTTCCTGTAGAAGAGCTCAAAGATGTATTGTCATGTATGTCCCCTGGGGAGGAACTAGGTCTCTGTTTTATTGCCAAACTATTGTTTCTTAACGGATTTTCCTTTGTTTCTATAACACATTCTCTCACTTCCCAGATTAGCAACTGTTGAAATCTGCCCTTTGGTTCAGGGAAGGTCTAGGGGGCTGAAGACTTTTTCCTGCAAATAAGAAATGGGGACACAGAAAGGATTTTGTACCCAGGAGGGCCCCACAGTGTCCTGCTCCATTTCACTGCTCCTCCTGGGTTTCCCCTTTACTAGCCACACAGAACACCTCACTTCTGACACTTCTGGTTGCCAGATATGTGGGGTTTTTCCCACATCAAGGAATTCTCTGACACCAGCCGCGTGTCCTACATTTCAGCTTGATTCAGATGCTATCTACCTGGAGACAGCGTTAGATTCCACAGGTTAAGGGCTCAGTCCCACAAGACTGCCCCTCCCCTCCTCCACCAAGCCAGTTGTCAGCCCATGTTTGTTACTGAACCAAACTTGGGTCTGGTGGTCCATGCACACTAAAGCCAATCTACTGACACTGGGTCGTGGTAAAGCAAAGTGCAGCGTGTATTGTAAGATGCCATACAAGGAGTCCAGAACAGCTAGTGCTCAAAAAAGCCCGAACTCCCTGATGCGGTTCAGCAAAGCAGTGTTAAAGGCCAGGTAAGGGAGGGGAGTTGCAGGGTATATGGTCAGC